GATCACATGACGTGCGTGCGTGTGTGGGAGGGTGGGGGTTGGGTGGGGGGGGAGTCACTACATCATAGAGGAGATGGAGGGAGGGGAGGAAAGATGAAGACGCTCGCAGAAACATGGTGACAATACAACGCGGCGCGCAGGCCCATACGGCGTCAACCAATTGCTGTCGTATTTGGAGGACGGTCGCTATGGCAACCGCTACGGTTGCCTGGCGGTCGCTTGTTAGCATCCGAGTCCTTGCCGCCGTTGAAAAGCATGATTGGCAGCCTGTAGAGGCAATTCATTTGTATCAACCCCCTCACGCGGCAATGATGATAACCTGTAACCTGGTAAACATGATAAGCCGTCCACTGGAGTGACCGTCGTTAAAATCCCAATTTGGTTGATTTTTGGGTGAATGACAAAGATACAGTTGGGAACTGATTCACAATCGACATGGTGGCCACCCGGTCTCAAAATAGTTGCTTCGAATCAAAACGAAAGGTTTCCACTGTCTTTTTGGCTTTGGGTTCTTGTGACTTTTTTGGTGGGTCAACTGATGATAGAGAGGACTACCAAATTCTATCTTGACTTTTTTTTTTTTTTTTTTTAAACCCTTTCCAGGCGGGCAGCTGTTACTACGGTGGACAGCTTATCAGGTTACAGGGGGCATGGAAGGGTTAACGATCGGAGAAGGATTTTTATAATACCAAATGGCACTTTAATCCAAAATGGCCGTCCTGATGTCTTTTCTGACGTGGCTTTTGGGGACATTTTTGTCGTGATGGACATGCCTACCAACGTTTGTTTTCCAGTTCAAATGCCTTGATGCAAGACATCATTATTTAAATAGCATTTTCATAAATAACCGCTGCAGCTGAAACAAAAGCGCTTGACAGAACGTAAAATAACAAAATACGGTAATATCACACACACAAAACATTGCATAAGACACGGAGAGTCCTGCAATCGTAAGCGCTATTCCTGCATACGGCTTGTTTGAAGCAGTTCTAGATGAAAGAGGAAACAATTGTGGAGAATGATGATATCCAGCCAAAATGGTTGCTCAAAACCAAAATGGCAGACTTCCACTGTGTTTTTCGGCATGGCTTCTTGAGACTTTTTTTTTTTTTTTTGTGGGTCTTCTCGTGATAGATTTCCCAACCGATTTTCATGCGGGTGAGTGACAATGTCTTTGAAGGCTGAATTTAAAAAAATAATTAGTGGGATGCCACCGAGCCAGGATGATTGCCAAAATGGGTGACTTCCTGAAATCTTTTACATGGCTTTTTTGTGGGTCTACTCATGATGGGCATGCCTACCAAATTGCCTAGTTCACAGTGAAACTGGCTTTGAAGGGGCTGGCTTTTCAAAAAAAAAAAAACACGTATCGATCGTCTCCGGTGGACGACTCACTTTGTTGAAGTCTTCGCTGGTGGCCCGCATTTCCTTCCAGGTCTTGTTGAGCAGTTGGATGCAGATGCAGAAGAACTCCTCGAAGGAACGGTCGTGCGTGAAGAACATGGGGTGAAAGTCGTGGCAGTTTTCGCCGGCTGCAGAACAACAAGCACACACATTGGGTCACATTCACAACTGCACGGAATCTCGGGAGTCAAAACGTTCAGGTCTCAAAAATCATCTTCGCCCGCTGTATGAATTCTAAATGCCATTAATCCGTCCGTTCCAGACACTTTTTTGTTACATATTTGTTTAATCTGCAAAATGCCGCTCAAAAATATTATTCTTTCATAAAAAACAAAAACAAAGTAAAGACCTAATGCAGTAGAGTGGTTAAAAAAAAAGTCAATTGTTTCAATTGAATAGGCACGATTATACTAATACTCTTCGCAGAGGATAAAGAATATACTCATGTGGATATTGCTATCTTTCTGCATATGTTGCGCCAACGTGTTGAAATATGTAACCCTTAACAACGATGACATTGATGCAATTTGACAGCCCATCTGTGGTATTTTGCATTATGTGTTAGCATTAAGCTAATGGGATCGGGGGGGCAGACTTTGGAGACCTCCTGCTTAGACAAAGCCCCTTCCATCTAAATTTACTGCAGAGCTCTTCTGTATAAACGGCAACCAACACGTACAATACAAAAAAAAAAAAATAGATACAATTCGCAGATATCAACTGCTCCTCTTCGGACGTGCGTGCCTCGGCTGAGGTCAGCGGGTCCTTGCTGTCCTCCGAGTGGAAGTCTATTTTTGTGCCCGCGTGTTCCTCAGGGCCAATAAATGTATGATGTCAGCTTGTTAGTGGGCTGGACACCATGCAAATGAAGCCTGCAGGGGCGCGGGTGGGGGCAGGGGGGTTACTTCAGCGGGCACAGCGCCACCCCTGACATCTGCCAATGTCCAGTGTGTGTGTGTGTGTGTGTGTGTGTGTGTATGTGCGTGCACGTGTATATAAAAAGGAGAGTCACCTTGTAGCGAAGCGACATGATGAATACACCATGAAAGATGTCATCCTCACTTTAATTGCCAGACTCATGCCCCGCTGTGACAAGGGGAAAGAGTGTGTGTGTGTGTGTGTGTCAAGCGAGCAACGTAAGCACCATTTTACGGTCCAGTCGCCCTCTGTGTGTGTGTGTGTGTGTGTGTGTGTGTGTGTGTGTGTGTGTGTGTGTGTGTATAAAGTAAGCGGGCTACAGAAAACAGCGCAGAGGTATCACCGAGCAAAGTGTCATCCCATGCAGTGGTTCTCAACGGGGTGGCTCCAGGACACTAACAAATATAATCTGTTCGGCAAACAAAAATGTCTCCAGAAAAAAGCAAAACAGCAAATACATTTGAAATTGAAATAATATTTCAAATAAATAAATAGAACTGAACACTGCGACCTCTTGTGAGGACAAGCGGATTCGAAAATTAACATTAAAACGGAACATTAACCCTTTTCGTGCACCCTGTAAACCTGACAACAAGCTATCCATTGTAGTGACGGCTGTCCCCGAAAGGGTTAAATACAACCCAGGGGGGTGGGGGGGAAAAAAAGTTTTCACTACAATAGTGACACTGAAATAACAAGAAAACAATGAGAATGTAAAATTAAACATTTAAAAAATTGCGATCAAATGTATTTTGAAAATATTTAACCTCGAATATTTGTAACCATATTAAAATAATACATAAAAATATAATTAGTACAATCAAAATCAAATACCCTACATTTTTTAAATTAATGGGCTGTCTGGAATGCGGATTCCCCATTCATGTTAAAAAAAAAAAAAAAAATCACAAAAATGGACAGACATGTTCAACGGGAGAGTAGACAACATGGATTTATGCTGAGTCCCTTACCCCCTTTCCCAAAATGAGTCAACGTGAAAATCGAAGTGTAAAGATGTCAATGTTGCCAACCGGCGTCAAGGCACCGTGGGAACATCTGCGCTAATTGTCTCTAATGAGCTTAGCAGCTCATTGTGGCGGCATGCGCCTCGCGGGCGACTCGCTTCTCTTTCACTCCAAGTCAAGGAAGCAGGAGAGTGGCGCTGCCAAGTCTCTGCTCAGGCCAGAGACTATGCAGGAGTTTTCAGACCAATATAAATAAACTACTTGATTCTTGTTAGGAGAAAAAAAAAAACAAAAGAAGTAAATAAAATTCAATATCAAATAAAAAAATGACACAGCATTTTGCTATAACAGCACCATTATTTTCATTCTTGTAAAAATACTTCTTAATCCTGACTAATTTTTCTTTTAATAGCAGTAAAAAAAAAGCCATAAAAAGATTTAAGATTTTTGTTCCTGTTCAAGAAATATTTTCTTATCATCAAAATTTTTTTCTTTCATAAGTACGATTTTATTTAAATTTTTTCCTGATGCTTTTTTTAAATACTTTTTTCAGAATATTCGATTTTTACTGTCAAAAATAAATAAAATAAATAAATAACATAAATAAAATTCAATATAAAATAAAAAAATCCCCTCATAAATACCTACACAGCATTTTGCTATAACAGCACAATTATTTTCATTCTTGTAAAAATACTTCTTAATCCTGGCCAATTGTTTTATTTTAATAGCAGTCAAAAAAAAAGCCATAAAAAGATTTAAGATTTTTGTTCCTGTTCAAGAAATATTTTCTTATCAATTTTTTTTGTTTCATAAGTAAGACTTTATTTACAATTTTTTCCTGATGCTTTTTTAAGTACTTTTTTTTTCGCTTGTATTTTTGTTAGCATCCGAGTCCTTGCAAAATTTTAAATACATTTTTTTTTCAGAATATTCAATTTTTACTGTCAAAAAAAAAAAAAAGCGCATCCTTTTTGCTGTTTTGTTTTTACACGTTTACTGTACACCCCTTTCGCTGCGACAGTTGCGAGCGTTCAAACGCGACTTGTATCCCGACGACGACTCCAGACAGGAGCGCAAGAGACGGACGGAGATTCGTTACGAGTTGCTGAGAGAGAGCTGTGCAGCGCCAGCGCAGCAGATGGAGAGCCGGGAGCGGCCCCGGCAGATGGAGAAGGGATACAAAAATAAACATATCAATAAATAATAATAATGCCAGCAAGTCGGAAAAAAAAAAAGAGACCATCTGCTGTTAGAGTCCAACTTGAGCTTGTGGTGGAGTGAAACCCCCAGCAACATTGGTGTGTGTGTGTGTGTGTGTGTGTGTGTGCAACTTACGCAGCTCGCCGACTTTGAGGATCTCGCAGAGCATCTTCGTGAGTTCAATACTGCTGCGCCCGAACGGACACTCGTGCTTGTCTTCTCGACTGCTGTTCTCCAGAACGATCTGGCGCACCCAAAAAAGAAGAATCATAATTAATTTCTTTTTTTTGGGGGGCGCACAAAGTTGGCCACCGATGGCGGACTGACCCTGATGTAGGCATCCTGGTGGTGCCTGGCAAAGTAGAGCATGTTGTCCAGCGCCAGCATCCCGGGAGGAATCTGTGTGAAATCCACAGCCGGGTTCACGTGGTTCTGCGGGGCAGGAGGGGAAAAAATAAAAATAAAAATGGGGACGCAATTTTGCAACATTGATGCTATTTTTTTTTTTTTTTTTTTGCTTGTCTATGAGGTTTTGCCTCATGTATTTGCATTGAGCTGCTACCAGACTTTCATAAATCAACAATGCGATTCGGTTAAAATCCACAACATGCAACTGTCTTCGCTCAAAACGCAAATTTGTGTTTGCGACTCCTAAAAAGTCATCTGGAAAAATTCCCCAAGTTGAGGTAGGACCCCACGGTTGGTCGAGACGCTTACGATGAATCCGAGCTTCTTGTAGTCGCGCGTGTACATGGACTTGCGCTTCTCTGTGCTGCTGCCGTTGTTGGACTCGCAGTCCATGTCAAAGGCAATCCGGCGGAGCTCGAAGATGATGTCCCGCTGAGCCTGGCAAAAACATTGACAACAGTTCACACCGGTAAAAATGTCGCTTTTTAAATTTTTTTTTTAAAGTTTGTGTATTAACCCTTTCATGAGTCCTGTAACCTGATCACATGAACTATCCCTGAAAGGGTTAAAAATCCTTTTTCTCTTCACAGAAACGAATTCACATTATTTTGACAGCACCCCCAACAACCGTAGCTTGATAATCTTACATAATCCCGGTGGGAAATAAGAGATTTTTAGGTTAAAAACAAAAGAGGGGGGAAAAAAAAAATCTAAAAAAAAAAGAAAAAAAAAGTCCCTCGGTGAATAACAAGTCTATTATTGCACTTTTATTTCTGATAAAAACCTTTTTGTCACACCTCCAGAAAATGAAGAGCTTTTTTTTCCTCCTCAAAATTAGGACCCCCACAAGCCCCGCCCCCTTAAGATTTGATTGTAATACTTTTCCCCCCCACTTAAAGTGAAACGCTGACCTGGTCCTGGTGGTCCATTTTGGTCATCATGCGGTCCTCCAGCAGGTTGAAGGTGAGAACCTGCAGAACGTACAGTTGGTGCGCCATCTCGTCGTTGATGGGCATCGGGCTCCGGATCACGTTCTGATAACAGCCAAACATGTCATCAGCACAAAGCCCGGACAAAAAAATAAAATAAAATAAAAATAAAAGCAAGACGAGACGAGCGGGTCGGGGCCTTACGCTGAGGATGATGGAGCGCAGTTGCTTCTGAGCCAAGATGTGCGCCATCTCCTGCACACCAGAAAGGGACAATAAGCAAAGAGAAATTCAAACAACTTGAATTGAAACATTGGAATGATAAAATTGTGACAACGAAGGGCAGGAAGTAAAGACGGAAAAAAAATAGAGAGGGTACAGTCCACATATCGTAGTCTCGAGGACAGACTGAAAAGAACACAAATGAGAACAAAATGGTGGCGCAAAAAAAATAAAAATAAAAAGAAGAGCTCATTTGAATGAAGGTATCATTCTTGTAAAATTGAATTAGACTGTATTTTGTATTGTACAATATGTCAAGGGCATTATTGATCTATTTAAAATGTTGTTTACTTGATACATTTTTTTTTAGGTTTATTGGGGTTTTTCTTTGCTACTCAGATATTTTTCTATTTAGAGTTTTTGCTCAAAAAGTTCAGATTTTTACCCACAAAATATTCTTATTCTTCCTGGTGAAAAAAAAAACATCCCCCCAGCCCCTTATAAATTCCGTCCATAAAGAAAAGAATAAATAAAACTAACAACTAACAACCCATTAACATAGGACTTTTATTTTTTTTGTCTTCAAAAAAATTATAAAAAAAAAAACAACCAAAAAAAAAAAAGATTCAAAATATTCAAATTTCCCTTTCATGCACCCTGTAACCTGATAACATGATAAGCTGTCCAGGGTAGTAACCACTGTCTGTCAAAGGGTTGAATTCATACATTTTCCCCTCATGACACTTTTTTAACCCACATTTTTTTTAAATATGAAAAAAAAAAAATCTTTTTCTGCAAGCTGTGGATGTTTTTCCGCTCCCTAAAAATATGACTCAACTTATTTTTTTAAATTCATCCAAATATTTCGTTATCTGTGAAATTCAGATTTTCTTGATGAAATTACTGAATTACTTTTAACAACAAAATAAAAATCCCTGTAAAACTATTCTCAATGTTTTGTATTTTTGCTAACCACAAAATTAAGGCTTCACTGCTACTTTGTCCTTTTAAAAAAAATGCCTTTATTGTCAGAAATTATTCTTTTATATATTTCTTCTTTTTTGGCAGGGAAAAAAAAAAAGAAAGGAAGGTCTGGTAAGGGAGGGGCTACTACTTGGGATACGACAACCAACAGCAGCAACTCGCGTCGTGGTGCGGCGCACTTACTGTCAGCGGACAATTTAGGATGTCCACAATGTGCTCATCAAACTAGCGCGTTGCGGTCGTGCGTGGTGAGGAAACAAAGTCAGAAACAAAAAAAAAAAGACAACAAACACACCACAAGGTGAGCGAGAGTGACGGCGGTGTTGACAAAAAGATGAAGACCAAAAAAAGATTTTTTTTTTTTTTTTAAGAGTGTTAAGTCATTCCAATGCGGCATTCTGGCAGATGTGGAGGGGAGGAAGTCGGTGGGGGGGGCGGCCTTTTGGTTCATTCATTATTAAAGCGCACAGCCGGCTGGACGGTGCTTACGCAACGAGGATGTTAGAAAGTGCAAGCGAAAAGCAAGCAAGGCGGGAGGAGGATGAGGAGGAGTCAAGTGTTCTTACTTGTCTCCTTTCCTCGGGAGCTTTGAGGAAGAGCGCATTGATGACGGCGATGGTGTATGTCTGGATGTCCTGATCTGTCCTGGAAGGACACACACATAGTGCCAACGTTACCCTCCCTTTCAAAAAAAGAACAATGTATTAAAAAACAAAAAACAAACACACTAAAAGAAACAAACAACAAAGGTGAACCCGCAGATGCCAAACGTGCTGATGTACTTTTACAAATCCGTTTGGGCACTCAATTCTTCACGGATGCTATTAGTGGCATGGATCCGTCTCGATCCCCTGCCAAATGTGGTACTTTTACAAAATGTTCTCTTTTTGTGCCTGTGAGACCCATTTTGCCTTTCTTGGACATTACAATAAATAAAATTAAAATAAATAAATAAATAAATAGATCGCCCACCGACTCGCATTGGCATCAGAATTTAAAATAAATAAATGAAGAAACCCCCCCCCCACCAAAATAGAAAAAGATCACTTATGAACTTGCATCGGTATCAGAAAAAAAAAATCGCCAATGGACTTGCATATTGGCATCAGGAAAAAAAGATCACCCACTAACTCGCATTGGAATTAGAATTTAAAATAAATATACAAATTAAATAAAATTACCCCCCCCAAAAAAAAAAATCAATAGAGATCACCCGCGGACTCGCATTTGCATCAGAATTTAAAAAAAAAAAAAAAAAGTTAAAACATTATTTCATCATATTTTTCCCATGGGTTTTATATGCGACGCACTTTACATTTGGAGGAGACATCTCAACTCCCTGAACACTTTTGAGAGGTTCTCTCCCAACTTTCTTTCCGCCGTTTGTGCAAGCGCGCCCTCCTCACCCCTGCAGGTGCGGGATGAGCTGCCCGATGGTGATCTCCTGCGCCACCTTGTGGTAGAGGTCTTGGCTGTTGAGCACCATGGACTCCAGGATGGCCAGCGAGCGCTGCAGCACGGCCGTGTCCATGGCCGCCTTGTTGACGTAGCCGGCGATCTGCAAAGCAAAAGAGGATGCGGTTGCCAACATTGACGTCAGGTCGCCCCCCCCCCACACCTTTTTGATGAAGGCCACGGAGAAAGTGTCCCAGGAGACGATGCCGTGGTCCATCAGCTCCACGAAGGCCGTGAGCGTGAACGAAAGCAGGTCGCCGAAACTACAACGGAATAGCCGGAAACGAAAGCAATCAGTGACCCGCTTGCCGTTTCCGGTCAGAGTCCGGATGGGGAAATCGAGCGAGGGCGCAAAAGCGGCCGGCGACAGACGAGGAAAAGATTCCGAGCTTGTTGGGAGAAGAGACACGGAAAAGCAGCAGTGAGGCAAGTCAAAGACCGGAAGCAGACTTCCCGGGTGCCAAGTCATGCAAAAGGAGGAAAGAAACAGGAAGAGAAGTCTCGACCAAAGTCACTGGACAACTTATGCTTTTCAATTTTCGGTTGACATCAAAATTGAAGGGCCAACGCTCTATTTGGCGATATCTTGAACACGAGTGCCACCTGGTGGTCAAACGACAACCTGCACAGAGCTTCATTTCATTTGGGGGCGGGGGGGGGGCGCCATGACAACAACACGAAATGAATTGATTGCACTTGTGTTATTTCTGACATCGTTAAAAAAAGTCAGAGGAAATGGACGAAGACTAAAGGGCAAGAAAGTGACAAAAGTTAATGAATAAATATTCAAATGCAGGCGAGCGTGTTTTGCTGCCACGTGAAGGTGATTTTATTGATGGTTGATCAGATGTAAAAAAACAAACAAAAAAAAACAGCACTTATTTTTGTATTTTGTGTGCATGTCTAGTTCTTACTTTTAATCAGACTCTTGGTTCTTCGAAGCTATACTAAGATTTTCTTGCAAAATTCACGGCGTTTGTAGAAATAAAAATAAATGATGACATCAATGGCATTTGGCGGGTCAAATTATTCGACGCAAACAAATCAACTCTCAATTATTCAGGATGCCGTCATAAAAATGGAGATTTTACTTTCAGAACACTGACACGATTTCCGACAAAAACAAACATTCGCATTTTCTTCGAACTTGCACTCGTCTTCCCTGAAGAAACAAGATTTGGAATTGTAACGGGATTGATAAAAATGATAAATACTATCAAAAAAAATGTATTTTAAGGTTTTTGCCGTTTGCACACACGTCTCCCACATCAACGAAGTTTAGGGTCAAAATGGTGGTGTCCAAACTACGGTCTGGGGAGCCATTTGCAGCCCATTTCCAAAAAACACGCATTCAGGGTGTACCCCTGGCCTAGTGTCCGAAGACGGCTGGGATCGGCTCCGGCAACAGCCTGCCACCCTCGTGAGGAGAAGCGGATTTAGATGGATGGATGTGTGTGGAACCTTGCGAGGAAAAAAAAAAAATGTTTGGACACTGCCTGGGTTAAATCGTGTGAAATGATGACGATGAAAGAGCTGAAGAAAGACAATGAAAAGTTATTTCCAAGGTGAGAGAAATCAGCACGATATGGTAACACTCAAGCCCGGCGTCACCCTGAACAGCGATGACAGGACCACCAACATTTCATTCATCGGCCAATTGGCAAATGATCAATCATACGTGCTGTTAGGAGAGGAATAAATCTTGGTTGTCCTTTGCGTGAAAAGCCAAAGAATGACCTGGAAGGAAAAAAAAAAAAAAAAACCCACAAAAATTTAAAAAACTTTGCCGTCATATGACAAAAAAAAAAAAAAAAAAAGACGGCAGCGAGAAGTAAACAAATGAAAAGGGCACTCCGAAAAAAAAAAAAAAAAATCTGACAAAACGCCAAATAAAGTCAAAATAAGCCAATTCAAAAAGTAACTCCAAGTCGACGAAGATGACAAAAGCAAATGAAAATAAGAAAATCAAACGCGATTATTAAATAGAAAAAAAAGGTCCATTCAAAGAAGTCAAAAATAAAAATAACACGTAACATAAGAAAATATAATAATTGAATTATGAATTAAAAAACAAACAAACAAAAACAAAACAAACAAAAAAATACTTTGAAAACGCCATAAAATAATGAAACTGAAAATAATTAAAAAGTAAAAAGATTAGCCCCCAAATAAACTAAAAATGAACTAGAAAATAGATAAATACTAATCATGTCCATAAAGTCAATAAAAAAAAAAAAAAAAAAAGGGAACAAATCAAGCTCACAAAAAATATGCTGGAGCGAAAAATGTGTGACTTCTCAAGTCCCTTCTAAAGAATTCCATTTACAATGAACTGCTTTGTTGTGACCGTAATGAAAAAAAAATTGCAATAGATTCACACAATACGATGCTTTTGACACTTTGCCATCATAATAATAATAATAATAATAATTATAATCAATAACCGGCTGCTTGCTTGCGCCAGCGGAGGGTACCATCTGCCTTTCGCTTGTGCAATCCACTGGACTGCGTAGCATGCAAGCACAGCAGCAGATGTGATTTGCATAAAACGCAATTGAATGAGGTGTCAAAATGTGCAAACCTTGATTGGACAACTTGGGGGGGGGGAAAAAAAAAAACAACCCAAAAACACACCCGTGTGCGCACACACACGACACTCCCCGTCATGGATGGAAAAAATCCACCTCTGCAAAAACGGCGAAAACTTAGTAACCTTCGGGTGAGATGGCCTCAGGAGAGGCCAAACACTTTTGGCACACAACAAATCATCTCCTCCGCCACTTGGAAGCATCAAATGCGAGAAGGGGATATTTGGACGCAAGCGGTTCAGCAACACATGTAGACAGGCAAAATAACAGCACGCGATGGCATTTATCATTTGCAAAGAATGACTGAGCAATTGTGATTTTTTTTCTTTTATTCTTATTTAGGAAGAAATAGATTCCTGTACTCTAAGAAAATGATCAGAAACTGTAATAATATTAAAATTTAACCCCCCCCAAAAAAGTAGAACGACAAGTAAAGGCTAGCATGCAAGCTAATGATGAGCCTCATCACCCAAGTTGTTGATGTAACAAGGGTGCATACGTTTTCGAAGTGCAGTGGTGCTGCTTGATGATCCTCTCCGTTTGAAAGGATTTAACGCCATCTTGTGGCATCCACACACAACTACACGAGCAGATTTTTTTTTTTTTTTTTTTTTTTTTGCTTGGGTCTTTTCCGTCAGGCTGGTGTCCCGACACTCGTGTTCTCGTTCCGAGGAAGCGGGAAAGGCGGAGGTGCGCGGCGGGACTTACTCGGTGCCGCTCTCCACCATCTGGGTGAGCAGCGAGATGCCGTCCATGTTGATGAAGTCCAAGGCGAAGGTGATGTCGCGCGAGGCGCTGGCCAGGTCCTTCAGCGCCTCCAGCTTGGCGTCCATGCTGGACGACTGGATGCGCTCGTGCAGCTGCAGCGCCATCTGGTACTGTCAACACACGCCGCCGTCGTGGTGGTGGTGGTCAGATCATTTCAGAGTACACGTGTGGCATCCAACAACACCGCAGCTCTGCTTTGTTTCGCTTTTGGGCTACGAGGGGGGAGTAATTGGGGAAGCACAGCGCCACTTACAGGAGAGGTGGTCAAGTGCAGGATGGAGCCGTTCTTGATGTCGTTGCGATTCTGAGACACAAAAACAACACAGAAAATGTTTTGTTTTTTTTTTGAAATGACAATTTTTTTGGGGGGTGTGTCATATGCAACAAACCTTTTCAGTGATGTAGAATTTGGTGGCGTCGGCAATTTGCAGCGCAAAATTTTCATGATTCCCCAGAGACCAGCTGCGACAAAAACAGTTCATTCACTCACGTGTAAAATCATCATCGGGCAGTTTCCGCCTCACGCAAAACGACATTTTAGCTGATGGACGAAATTTTTTTTCAGAAATGTAAATTTTGCGTCGTATTTTGCGACTTACCCCTCGCACACTTCTTTGATGATGGCCGAAAGCGGCTTTTTCTGCCGGAACAAGAAGATCAAAGGAAGGTTAGTCGGGAGCAAAGAAAAGTTAGCGGAAGTGCGGAGATCAACCTCGCACTTGCCGACCCCCCCAAATTTTTTTTGACTCGATCGAGTTGAGCGCTTCACAAAAAAAACAACGGCGGCTCAAACAAAGCGCCCCACATAAACAAATGACCTTAAAACAACCTGACATTGATCTTAACCTTGGTGAGCGGTGGCAAATTTTGAACCGATTGGAGAAAATTTTGGTTGAACAATTTTGAAAAAATGATTTGCAAATGTTTGCACCCCCCCCTTCCCCATCATTGTGATTTCATAGGTGATCTTTTTTTTTTCCCCACAATGCGTGTTTACACATACACACGCATTGTGATTGAAGAGGGGACTCGCATGGCATGACTCACGACGCCATATGCCGCCACGGGCCATTGGTATGCGGAATGAGGAGGCTGAGGAGGGATGAGGAAGGCGCTCATGAGGTGGAGGCGGCGTGCGTGTGTACGTGTGTATCGACAGCGACAAGAGGCGACAAAGGAGGGAGAGGAGGAGCAGCTGCGCGAGGAGTGAGGAGGAGGGAGGATGAGGAGGAAGAGGGCGCCCTCGGCGCAGCCGCATCGCGGCCCCACGGATGCGGGAGGACGGCAACATCCGCAGAGGTTCGGCGAGCCGAGGCCTGCGCCCGTTGCCGTGGCGACGCCTAACTTTTACTTCCAGCGGTGCGTGTGTGTGAGTCACACACACACACACACACACACACACACACACACACACAATACGTAACATTCCACGCAAGGGCATGTGTCCGTCAGCTGTTCCCTTCACGTTTTGAAAGCTAAAATAAATTTGAGTCGTGTTAGCCGACAATTTTACGTCCAAGTGGTTGTAAAATATGCGCAGATTCCTTCGATAGAATTTTTTTTCAAATGAACAGAATTAATAGTTTTAAAATGAATTCACATTGAAATTATATTTTGGGGTAATTAATTACATTTAAGTATGAATTGTATTAACCACACTATTTTTTCAAACGTTTAAAAGAATTTTTTTTTTTCTTTGACAATATTTTATTTTCTAAAATATATTTTGGATTTTTGTTTCTTTGTTTAACTTTAACTTTTAAGAATCAATTAGATCTGAAAATTTTGATCTTCAACCACATCATTTTAATTGACTTCTGTGACAATCTATATTTTGAGGCGGCCCGGTGATGCAGTGGTGAGCACGTCGACCTTCAATTCCAGCTCCAGGGTGTAGAGTTTGCATGTTCTCCGCGGTCCTGTGTGGGTTTTCTCCGGGTACTCCGGTTTCCTCCCACATTCTAAAAACATGCATGGCAGATGATTGAACACTCTAAAATTGTCCCGAGGTGTGAGTGTGAATGCGGATGGTTGTTCGTCTGTGTGTGCCCAGCGATTGGCTGGCAACCGGTTCAGGGTGCCCCCACCCACTGCCTGAAGACGGCTGGGATAGGCTCCAGCACCCCCCGCGACCTTTGTGAGGATAATGGATGGGGTGTCACTTCCGGGTTGAGTGTACGTTGGCGCGTCTGCTGCCACTACTCACCCGCAATTATTCTTTTTTTAGCGTTTGTTTGACGGCTTTTTACGGTTTACTCTCGTCATGGGAGAAACCTTCATCCCCTGTCGCAATTCGTTGTGGTTTTGGACCGTCGGTTGTCGCACGGTTGTCCTCGGTCGCGCTGTCGCGGCGTCCTGCCTGTTCGGCTGTCGGACGGTGCTCCGTGCCTTCTCCGCTCCTCTGCGCCCCGTGGTGGGGGTCGACGGGTCCC